CAAACAATATAGGATATGAAGTATACCTTGCAACCGAAGAATTACTAGAATAATTCATAAAAATCAAGAAATACCTAGCATTGATTCTTGACGGAGAATGAGCAACTCGTGCTGATAACGTGTTATAAAACTTAAGAACAAAAGAATAATATAAAGATGAAGACAAGAGGAACAATATGAGATAACTTTCGTTCTTTCAAGTGTACACTAAATCTTCAAGTTTATACAATATGAACTCTTATACCTCTATTTATAGTGTAACACAGAGGCATACAAAAGGTTAGTCATAAACATGACATTAACATGAATATAATGGGGGAGGTTATGAAGTGAAAAGTTACAAGAATAATGGTTATAAAGGTGGAGGTTATGGTTATCTTCATAATAGAGGAAAATAATGGAGTAACTTCTTGATGTAGTGGACATCCACAATATATTATTTTATAACATTTTTTCTGTTTTTGAAATTTAAACTTACTTCTATGAGCCTTTGATTTTGAATACTCGTTAAGTTATTTTTAAATAAAACTTTTATTTAGATTCCATAGTATTTGAATTTGATTGAAAATTTATATTTTAAGATGTAAGCTAAGATTAAAAGATTTGAATTTTAATATAAAAACTGTTTCTAATGTTTAGGACATATATATAGGGGCTAAAACAAAAACTTACTTTGACGTATATAAAGACCCCTAAAATAATTCAGTCAAAGAAAATATCTAAGGTTTAATTAAAAAGTTTTTTTCCCAATTATTTGAGTGAAAATGAAGTAATAATCAATTTGTAATTTTCTTTAGATAACCTTATAGACCCCTAAAATAATTTTCAGTCAAAGAAAATATCTAAGATTTAATTAAAAAGTTCTCAATTATTTCTGTGAAAATGAAATAATAATCAATTTGTAATTCTTAAAAAAAATTACATTCTTTTTGACAAAGACAACCTTATAGACCCCTAAAATAATTTTCAGTCAAAAAAAATATCTAAGATTTAATTAAAAAATTCCCAATTATTTGAGTGAAAATTAAGTAATAAACAATTTGTAATTTTTTTCTTCATTCTTTTTGACAAAGACAACCTTATAGACCATGTAACATGGGCTAGGCAATGACAAAATAATACCACTTGCATGAAATCATTAAACGTTGATTGTTGACCTAACAGTAGAGTACCACTTGCATGAAATCATTAATGCACATCACTTCCGAAAGATTGTAACGTATTGTTTTATAATGCATGATATATATTATATTGTATTGTATTACTATGAATATAATATTTGAATTGATGATATCTATATAGTTTTACATACCAACAATTTAAAGAATAAATAAAATTATAAAAATTACTTTTACACAAAATAATAACTTATTTACAAATTTGTGGATCAATTTGGTCATGATATGCTCTTTAATGAGAAAATTGTACATAATGGCAAATTATTAATTCAAATTAAATGGTATAACCACACTTTGATTTAATTGTATCCTGTATCAAATTGTTTGCCAGCCGCCTCTCTCCCTCAAACTCTCGCTCGCCACTCTCCTCTCTCGCTCACTCCCTCTGTGCTCGCCTCTCTCGCTTTATACAACAAAATTGTATAAATTGCGTTTCTGTTTGTATAAAGCGAGAGAAAATTGTATATACACATGCAAATACATATATATTCGTCCTATACACTTATAATTATACAATAAAAATATTCCTCTGCCCAGTTCTCTTTTGCCTTTTTCTCTTTCTCGTTTTATACAACAGAATTGTATAAATTGTGTTTCTGTTTGTATAAAGCGCGAGAAAATTGTATACACACATGCAAATACATATATATTCGTCTTATACACTTATAATTATACAATAAAAATATTCCCCTGCCCAGTTTTATGTTTGTATAATGTATAATTTATATTTGTATAAAGCGAAAGAGAGAGCAATTTTTTATATACAAATATTTTTGTCAACGATTTATACAAACGAGAGGCTAACAACAATTTATACAAATGGCCTGCCAGCGAAATTATATAAATCTAAAGAGGAGCCAACGAATTATACAATTACTTCTTTTTGTAAATATGTATAGCGAAATAGACAACTTTCAATTGTATATGTATAGTGAATTATACATATATATGTTTGCTATGGAGCGCAATTATGTAAACTTTGCTATAGCATACAAATATAATTTTTTTATTTGCTATATGTGAAAGTTGCTCTATTTTAATTCATGTATTATTAGTTATTAGACGTATTCGCCCGTGCAAGCACGGCCCAACACTTATGTGTTATAGCATGCTTTCAAATGATTTTTGGTGGCTGCATAATATTTTATTTGCAAATAAAGTAGATTACTTCGTCTTATGTATACTGCAAAAATTGTTCTCCTCCTGCTTTGATATGTTTTTTTTTTAGCGGAGGGTCTACTGAAAACAACATCTTTTCCTCTTAAGATATGAATAAGATCTATGTACGCTCTATTTTATCCGATCCATACTTTTCTTTTTAATTTCTCTAAGAATAGAATTAATAAGTTCATCTAAGAATATAATTAATAATTCTTGGCTCTTGGAATATAAGCCACGTAGCTTAGCTTATTCATTAATTAGCTTATACGTGAAATGACTAAATTGTCCTCAATTTTAATTTAAAATAAATAAATTGCTTAAAGTCCAAAAAAATAATTGATTTTTATTTATATTTACTCTTCATTTAATAAGATTCTTAACTATTTTATATTTTTTAGAAGAACAATTTGAAGAATAATAAAAAAATAATAGTGAAAAGTAATATTTTATTGATATCCTAAAATATTTATCTTAAAAGGTATGTCATATCCTAATAATTTACTTAATACTTTGAATTAGTAAGGGTGTGTTTGGTATGAAGGAAAAACATTTTCCAAAACTCTCTTCCAACTTTCAATTAAAAAAAAAAATTGTTGGAAAAATCAATTTATTTAGTCCCTACCCTCAAACCAACCCCTCCCAAAAAAAATAATTTAAAGTTTGTTTTTAAATTCAATATTTTTACCCCACCCTCACCCCTACCACCACCCCTCCAAAAAAAATATTAAAAGTTGTTTTTAAAAGATATTTTTAATTTCAATTTTTTATTTTTTTACACCCCCACCTCCTACCCTCGCCCCCCCAGCCCCCTATCCCACCCCCTTCAAAAAGAAAAAAAATTAAGTTTGTTTTAAAAAAATATTATTTCATTTTTTCATCCTTACCCTCGATCCCCCTACCCAGCCCCCACCCACCCCCTACCAGCCCCCCCTCCCCCACCCCCCCCCCAAAAAAATTTAAGTTTGTTTTTAAAAAATATTTTCGACCCATCCCCACGCACCCCCACCCACTCACCCCCTACCACCCCCCAAAAAAAAATTAAGTTTGTTTTTAAAAAATATTTTCGACTTCAAAATTTCATTTTTTCAACCCTACCCTCGACCCCCCACCCACCCAACCCCTACCAGCCCCCCCCCCCCCCCCCCCCCCCCCAAAAAAAAAATATAAGTTTATTTTTAAAAAATATTTTTAACTTTAAAATTTCAATTTTTCACCCCTACCCTCGACCCCCCCACCCACGCCCTACCAGTCCCCCACCCCCCAAAAAAAATTTTAAGTTTGTTTTTAAAAAATATTTTTAACTTCAAAATTTCAATTTTTCACCCCTACCCTCGACCCCCCACCCCCCTACCAGCCCCCAGCCCCAAAAAAAAATTAAATTTGTTTTTTAAAAAATATTTTCAATTTCAACAATTATTTTCTACTCTAGTAAAAATAAAAGAAATTTTTCAAAAACATTTTTCATTCATAAATCAAACACTAAAAATCTTTTTCAAAAAATATTTTCTACTCACCAACCAAACATGAAAAAATAAGTCAAAAATCAACTTGTTTTCCAAGAAAACATTTTCCATGAAAAACATTTTCCTTCATACCAAACACACCCTTAATGTGAATATCAACACCAATAAAAGTTATAGTGAAGTAGTAAGTACTTATTCATTCTTAATCAGAAATTTTGGTTTCAAATCTTCCTGAGTAAGAAATTGCCTTTATTAGAGACTGCTTTACCTCAATATCGAACTTGTCGAGGTGAAAAAAGAAATGAACATCAACACCGAGTGAAAAAAATAAATAAAAAGAACGATGATGATTACCTTTTGAATCGTGGCCTATATACAGTGGAAATTTTGGCTATAAAAAAGCTTAGCCTCAATATAGTATAACACAACTGTTCATCAAAAAGTAAGTTTACTGTATAATAATTTGGACACATTTTTTTTATCATTATTTACCACCAACAGAGAAAGGTGGCAGAGTTCAATTTCTATTTTATAATATGTACGAGTAGTAAAGATAGAGCTAAAATTTTAATATATACGTTATACTAAATTTTGCAAATAGAATTATAGTGGTACACTAATTTTAGCTAAAGCTCTCTTATTAACATGAATCTAAATTAATCGATAAAATATCAAAATTATTAATATTTCTTATCCCTCGTATCAAAGATCGTTAAATATTTAGCTAGATGACACCAACCATGTGTCACAATTCACTAGTTTCGTTACTACACAGAGAATGCTTCAGTTACGGATTCTCTGTTGTGGTTGTGCTTTTCCATAATAATCATATTCATCAATCAACATCTTCTTCTTCAACTTTTTTTCTTCTGATAATTAGTGCTTAATCATATGGCAATTAGCACTAATTTATTCATAATCCAAACCAATTATTCTTCATTCCTTTCCCATTAATAAAAAAAACAATTTAATGTCCCCACCACTTCCCTCAATTCCTGCCCTATATGTTTCATTTCATGTTAACAAATATTACTACTTTTAATCCCTCTTTGTCTTGTCTTTCTTGTTTCTTTCCCTCTCATATTTCATTCTTTTTAAACCCCATTATTCCTTAAACCCATTATATATACAAATAACTCTTATCACAAATCTAAAATTCAAACTCTTGATTATTAAGTAGTAAAAGAGAGGCAGAGATATGGGCATTTGTAATGTTCATTTTCTTTCGCCTTCTCTTTGGCTCTTCTTCTTCGTGATGATTACTGTAATTATAAATTCGAGCTACGCAGATGAAAATGCTCAATCACCATCTCCACCAGATTTACCACCATATTACAGATCTAGAGGTTCGCCTTTTAGGCCGAGCATAGCAATAGTAGTAGCAATACTCACAACGATTTTCTCAATTGTATTTATGTTATTGTTATACGCAAAACACTGTAAGAGGGAAGGTACATTTGGTACCACCTCCGGAGGATTGACGAATAACCTGCATTCGTCAAGCTTCCGGAAAAACTCTGGTATTGATCGGACGGTGATTGAGTCTTTGCCTGTATTTCGATTTGGATCTCTTAGAGGTCAAAAAGCGGAAGGACTGGAATGTGCGGTTTGTTTGAATAAATTTGAATCGAGTGAAATTCTTCGATTGTTACCTAAATGTAAACACGCATTTCATATCGAGTGTGTTGATACTTGGCTTGATGCTCATTCTACTTGTCCTCTTTGTCGATATCAAGTTGATCCAGAAGATATTCTTCTAATTTCACATGAAAATGAGAGAAAATCAACTTCTTCTTCAATATGTTCATCCTCTCCGGCGAAAGAAAAAGAAAAAGAAAAACAGAGGATTCATTATTCATCTTCTGGAAGACATTCTTCCGCCGGAGAAAGAGGAACTTCATCCTCGTCTTTGCAGATAATCGTTGAAAGTCCGAAACAGGAAACGCCGTCGTTTCTGAACAAGAGAATGTCGCTAGACAGTTGGAATTTCTACCGGAAAAAAAGCAAATCCACTAATTCGACTTCATTATCGAGAAAAGACGGAATGCTATTAAACAAAAAAAAGGCGCCGGAAGCGGAGGTGGAGGCGGTGGAGGAAAGGCGGTTGGAACATCGAATAATTATATCCGGCGATGAACCGGAGCTGGGCACGGGAAGTGGGTCCCGGCACCGGTGGAGTGACGTGGAGGGTTGTGATAGGTTGTATTTGAGGTCAGAGATGATATTAAGCGAGAGCCGTAGATATTCAGGGTCGAGAAAACGGACGGCGGAGATGGGGAGTGGCAGAAGGGTAATAAATGAGAGAAGTGTGTCGGAATTGACAGGGATGAGTAGGTTTAGGAGTAATAATGAAGAAGAAAGAGAAAGGAAAGGAGCAGTAAAAAGGTGGTTGGATTGGATTTCTCAATCACAAAATAAATCTGTTTCTCTGTCTGATTCTGGTGCTGGTGCTGGTGCAGCAGCTTCTTCTTCTGCAACTTGATAATAACTCGTACTCGATATTTACATCAAATTAATACGAGTTACGGATAGTTGTGTGAGTTTTTTTTGTTGGAGGCATCTCTTTTCATGATGAGATGAGGTAGAGTACAAAAAGAATGATGAAATCATATTGTAATAGTAGTAGTTTTGTACTTTAGTTAGTGGAAAGTGAAAGAGTGGTACTTGGAAATAGATTTTTCTTTTTGGAACTTTTAAATGAAATTTGGATTAGTGTTAAAGACTTATTTGTTCACATTAAATTTAATGAAGATCTTAATTTGAATGACGAGGCGAAATATAAAACTTGATTGTATATTTTTTTTTAAAAATATTACGTGATAATCACCATCGTGATATTCTCTAAAGTAAATATGTACTCTATGATTTTCTATTTGACCTGAAAAAATAACTAAACATTGTTAATTTATCCAAATATTCATGAGGGTAAATTGTGAAATTTGATGCACAATTCGTGTAAGAATTATTGAGCGACTTCCTAGCGTCAATCTTTAGACATATTTAAGGTGTATAGTTAGATGTTTAGAATTAAGCTTCACACACGAGCCTCTAGATATTTTGTCCGTAACCCCGTCTAAAGGTTCGAGTCCCAAAATTACCTTAAGTTCACAATTGACTCTTTTAAAAGTTCCCCTTTTCCCATAATGCTTTGTTGATAAGTACAACAACTACCCCCAAAAAGAGGCAAACTTTCACACTTTCAGCTTCTTATTACAATGGTTTTTCATAGATTTGAATGGCATACAAGGGTAAGAGTTAAGACCAATAAAACAATATATATTGTTGAGATCACTAAAACACACATAAGTAGATTCATAAAAGAAGATTTTACAGAGTAACAACCTAGAACGACCTCTCATGCACAAATCAACGACTCTGAAAAACTCTCTCGATCAACAACTTTACTAGTTATGTCAAGATACTGATGCACTAATATGATTATTCACTATTGAGCAAGAGGCTTACTTGTATCTTCGACTTGGTGGAGTTAAAAGGAGTAATCTATATCCTCTCCCAAATAATGACTGTCATAAACAAACAGAAATAACAAGAAGATAATAAGATATTGAGGCGAAACAACAACAAAATAATAAGATATGGAAATTGGGAACCAAAATTAAATGTTTATACAAGATAGGCTTAATATGTTCTTCCATTTATCACTAAATAATTCATAGTTCATAAATACATTGCAACTCATTCAACTTGTTTATCCTTTATAAGAAATGTAAAAATATTAATACAGATTATGTAATTCAATTAAGTTCGTGATTGACGAGTGAAGAAGGTTTTTGCATGGATTGTCTTTATTTGAGGTGGAATTTAATCTTTATTCCTCGAATATGCGAGTTTTAATTTTTTAAATCATTATTGCTCATTTAATAAAAAGTTGTGGGTTAAAATGTTCTTAATTTTGACCTATTTCACTGGCAAAACTAATATTGCGAGACAACACTTTTTAAAGAATATTTATCTTGGGGCATAAGTTCGATAATATCTGATTCAATTGGCAAGACTTTTTAAGAGAACTATTGTTCTAGAGTATAACTTGTACTACTGAACTTATGGCTTGGACATAACTTATGTCATGAACTTATGTCTTGGGCCATAACTTGTGCCTTGAGCTTAATTTCTTTCGCCTTTGAGACAGAATTTGTGCCACAACATTTGTGCATTGAACATAATTTCTTTTGCCTTTGAGACATAGTAATATCTTTTATCTTGAGGTATAACTTGTGCCACTAAACATATGACTTGGGTATCTTTTACTAAACTTATGTTTTGTGATTATTTTTTCATTCTTTTTGCTGGACATTTTCGATTAGTTTTTGTTACTTAAAGTTCTGAAGGATAAAAAATTATAGACCAACAATTTTGAGAGGCAAATATTAAAGACCAACATAAAATAGAGATATTTGTGCGAATGTCTCTTCTTCTGATTTTAAACTTGGGCTAATATTAATCTAAATTTTAAGAGAAAACTACCTTATTAGACATATATTTATATTCTATACCATATATACTAACTCTAATTTCTATCTATACTTTCAAATAATTACGTATAACGTAGTTTACCATTAATTAAAGGTTTCTTATCATATATTGAGGAAGATATATCTAAATACATGTATTTTTGCTACTAGATACACTAAAATAGTGAGAGAGGCGAGCGAGATGGGGAGAGAAATAGTCATGTATCTCAGATACATACAAATCACACCAAATACACATTAGATACATGTATATGGTGTGTATCTAGGAAAACATATATAAGAAAGTGGCAAGCGAGATGAGAGAGGGAAACAAGATTTGTGTACGTATTCTAGATATATGCGAATCCATTTGAATACAGTATATCTAAAACAAATTACACCTAATTTTGACTCCATATATTAAGAGGTACATATATCTGAATATACCAAAATCCGATAAGATTCGTAATATTATAAATTAGATTGTATTTAAGCAATTAACATTAAATCTAATGGTTTTGCCACCTATACATATGTCATTGTATATACAACACACATGCATCGACGTAATTTCTTAAAGGCAAATTCCGAATTCAATCAAATTAGGTTAAATCAGAAAGATGTTGAGGCACGTCGGAAATCGAATTCCGGGGTTAGGGCAACGACCGTCGTCGGCGGCGGTGGCGCAAGGGGTTTTCCGGCGGCTATATCATGAAAGAGTGGTGGACCATTACAATAATCCTCGTAATGTTGGGTCCTTTGATAAGAACGATCCCACAGTCGGTACGGGTCTCGTCGGAGCTCCGGCTTGTGGTGATGTAATGAAGCTTCAAATCAAAGTCGATGAGAAGACCGGGAAAATTACGGATGCTTGTTTCAAGACCTTTGGTTGTGGCTCAGCTATTGCTTCTTCCTCACTCGGTACGGTTTTTCAATTCCGTAATCTTTGTTGATCTCTGTGTTTTCTGGGAATTTAGTACTAAGAAAAAGAGATATTGTAACAAACACACGGAAACTATCACTTTTGTGTGAGTTTGAGTTTTATATCTGAACTATCACATTATTGTACTACCGGATAACTAAAGGATCACTTTTTTGCGAGTTTCCAAGTGAACTAGGAGGTGTTTCTGTTTGCTATCTGAATTATAACCAAGTATTTATCAAAACTAACCTCGAATTTAATGAGTTAGCTGTCATGTGGATGAAAGTTTGTTAGAGGTGTGTTTTGATAAATAGTTGGTGCTAGTTCAAGTAGGAAACACAAACACCTGATAGTTAAGGTATGAAATTCGCAAAATATTGATGCATTACGTGTGTTTTTGATCATTATCTCTAATTAAATTGAAAAAGAGGAATCTATTTACCCTTTTTCATATATATGTACTGTTTTTATTGAGCATATGATGCTATTAAGATGGGTGTTGGTGATTTGAGTTTAATTTTTCCAATTTTCAGCAACGGAATGGGTGAAAGGGAGAACAATGGAGGAAGCACTGTCCATAAAGAACACGTAAGTCCTTTGAACTTTCTTTTCCTTTGTCATTTTTGTGTGTGTTTTAAGGGTACATAGTGTGGTTTGAGATTGTCCCTTTCAGTTTTTTTTCCTGCCTTCCTCAAGTGACCTTAAGTAGTTGAACAGAGCTGATTCTCTTAGTTATATGTCTCGAATTTTGAGTTCCATTTCAAAGAAACCATTTTTATTGTTCCTGGTTCGTCAAGTTTTAGTGAAATGCCCTTCAATTCAGTGGCCCTGCTATGTTGTTCTTACCTGGTTCAATACCAATATTGCTTCTGAAATAGTAAAGTGTGTACTCAGTGGCTCCTAAATTGTGTCAGATTACAGTTTCAAAAATACTGTTCTGCAAATTAGCATTTTAACCAAAGTAGTCGGCTAGCGTAATTCCCTCCCTTCTGGGTGAGGAGGTGGAGTATTAGCTGGCATGCATGTTAACCAATAAACTTGGGCATGCTTATTGACCAACCCGCTCGATACATGTTATCTCTCACTAGTACAGGTGTACCTGAGTAATTCTGGTTCCCGAGATTTAAACGAATGAAAAATTTACTTTGTGTCATCTTTGTTGAGATTTGAACCTTATGTCCCAAGGATGTTACTTCAGCTCTTTGGATGCACTGTTTGTGCCATCTTCCTAACAGGCTGAAAAGGTAAGGTTGAACTGCTTGGAGATTAGAGGTTCTTTATCTTGTATGTGTCGATTCAGCAAAATTGAAGGTTCAACCTTTTTTAGAATGAGGTTACTGCACTGGATATCTCATCCCCACCTGTAACAGGTCAATTAGAAGGTGGTCCCTTAAAATAGGAATGATTGAATTGAGCTTGAGAATTCTTTCTTTCATGAACTTATTGAAACCTAGGAAGAAAAGCTTTTTGAAACTTAGCCGAAAAATACTTGCCCAAAAAAGAAAAAGAAGAAAGAAAACTTAGCCGAACAACAAAAACAGAATGCAACAAGTCCTTTGGTTCAAACTTTAAAGGGGAATGTACACTACATGGGTTTGAGTCCTGGTTTGTGTACCAAGTCTGGTATTTAAGTAGAAAATGGTAGAGGACCGGGCCTATTATAGACCGAGTTTTAAAACTAAAAATACTCATTTCTTAATATAGTTTAGAGTGAACTTACTTTGAGGAACTGGATATGTGCAACTTTCTTTTGAGAGATAGCAAGTGAATCTTAAGTTTAGTACGCGGAGGTTATCAAGTCCAGTCCTGCTAAGTTTAAATTTGATCTATTTCCAATTTGTTTGATAACTTTACTTGAATCTAATGAACAATATGCGTGCTAAATCATGTGGCTATTCTTGTGTCAATGCGATTGTCATTTTACTGAAAGCATATATATTCTTAGAAGACCGGATTTCCCGTGCCACAACTGTCTTTAACCATACTTGGAAGAAAATTGATCCATCTTGAAATCAATTGCTTTTCGAGGATCCCCATGAAAGCGTGTTCTTTCGTTAGGATAGACTACCTCATGGCATAGTTCAACTT